GAAAGGCTGAATGATAAATACATGTTTTGCTGATAAAATAATACATGCATGTGTCTGTGCTGCTCAAGACAGTCTCAATCTTAATTTTGTAAGCTACAAAGAGGCCAATTTGGCAATTAAGGGATGCCCTAGTCCTTCTGAAGGCTGTCGATGGATTTGTTCATGGGACTGACGTTATCGCTAGGTTAGGCCTAAGCCCGCCGTGTGTTTGGCCTCGTACGTAGTAGCCTACGAAGTTCCACGACGTGACGGCTTGATGGTAAGGGAGACGATTTAAAGTTATGAGCCGGCGCGATAACAAACGTGAAGGAATTAGGCTCTGTCGCGACAAATTAACAGCAGTGAATCCCACTTGTCTATTTGAACGCCTTTAAATCGTCAAGGTCCTTTTGAATGTTGATACATATTTGTTTGGATTTACTTAAAACTGAATTAAAATCATCATCAGCAACAAATCTCCTGTCAACAGTCCTGCTGAAAAAATTTGACCGGGCCCCTGGTCATGTCTGTCCATGTTCCATAACCAATAGATCGAGAAATCTAAGGGTAGATCTAGATCTAGAATTTAGATCTAGATGTAGATAGGTTAGATCTAAATCTAGCTAGATCTACACCTTAGAATTTTTATTTCTACATCTAATCTATCGTCACATCATAAAAAAAATAAAATACCAAAGAAAAGAAAACCTTTTCGTCTCAGTTGTTCAACCCTAAACGCCTTTGCAATCTAAACGATCCTGAGGAAAACTCAATCAACAGCTGAAATGGTAAATGAAATTAACGAACAGACTATTAAGCAAACGATAAAGAGAACTCGAATCTATGTACATGTACATGTATCTTACAGCTGCTATGCAGTAAAAAAAAAACGAAACAACTTTACTCAGAAGGCATATAAATATAGTTGACACCGTAACTATAACAATGTGTTTGTTTAAGAGCGTTCAATGACATCCGAAAGATACAAAATACTGTTAATCGTCATTTCATCAAGATAAAAGGCACTGCAAATGGGATTCACACACGGCTTACTGAAAGTATCAGTAGGCAGTGGATTCTCAATAAGACGTGGGGAAAAAGTGGCGTATAGAACGCACTGCACCGGTTTGTACATTGCGCGACCACGGTACTTTCTTTCCGTATTTCCATTTTTTGACAGTGAAAATTTGGACTTCTTTTTAACCTCCCTCTTTGTTATGAACTATTTTCACTGTTATGAAAAATGGAGATAAGACAAGAAAGCACGGAGGTCACAATTGATTGAGCCCCTGTGACAAGCGCGTTGTTGACATCCTGCGTACCGGTGTCGGCATAAGCGTTTTTCACCAATTAATTGATTTTTGCAACTGCCCATTTTATGAGCTTTTTTGTTTAAATTAAATATGTTCCCCATGTTTGATTTTGGTTGAATTTTTTAGTGATACTTAATACCCTAAAGAACAAGTCTACAAAAAATTTGATTTTCAACCCTCATGTCAGGGTTCACACCATTGTAATGTCACTTTTTACTGGCCTAAAATGGGCTGATCCAACAATGTCATGCTCATAACTGGGACTGAACTACAACAGGGAACAGCTGCTTTTTCTTTCCTAATCCTTACTATCGTCATTTCCTCTACTTCTTTTGTATGT